TCCATTGAGAAGCGTTTTCCCGAGGCCAAGCTCTTCCCACTGAACACGGAGCAGGAATCCTCGCTGCTCCTGAGGCACCTCAGCTCCCAGAAGCAGAGGCACCTGGCTTTTCGGGATCGCCGTGCTCACCTGCTCGCCCACGCTGCTGAGTTTGTGCCCAGCCAGGACAGCCACCTGGTTGGGACCCTGAAGGTGTCTGGCTTTGTGCGGGGACAGACCCTCAACGTGAACAGCCTGGTGCACATCGTGGGGCACGGGGACTTCCAGCTCAGCCAGGTGGATGCTCCCCCTGACCCGCTCTCTTTGAACCCACGAGTGGTTAAAGGACAGAAGAGGAGTCAGGACATGGAGGTTCAGGTGTGTGGGGTGAGAGCTTTGCCAGTCCTCTTAAGACACAAGGCTTCTCAACTTTCATTGGGGAAAATGCAGCTGGGGGTATGTGGGTAGGGAGAGTTCTATCTGTGTTCTGCTGCTGGGCTGAGGTTCTGTGCCTGCAGTGTGTGGTGAAAGTTATGTCATGATATCATGGAGTTCCACTTGAGACTGACTGCATGCTTCAGTTGGGGGTGTGCAGATCTAGGAACTCTGCTCTTGCCCTTCAGGATGGCTCTGGAAATGGTGCTGATGAGATGGAGGAGGATGTCAAGGTCCTGATGAAGGCAGATCCCAGCAAGCAGGAGTCTCTGCAGTCAGAAGTGGTTCCTGATCCCATGGAAGGGGAGCAGACGTGGCCCACTGAAGAAGAACTGCAGGAAGCAGAGGGTGAGCAGAAGCAGAGATAGTTCTGTATCTCTTCCTTGTCCCTCTTAGGAGGGTTGTTAGAAACTTCTGTCACCAGGGTGGCTGTGAAGAAACATCTTAGTTGGGATAGTTTCCATCCCCAGTCCCATCAGGTGGCCAGCAGGCTGTGTGGTTTGCCTGGCAAATGAACAGATTCTGGCTGTCCTGACAAATTCTGTGCTGGAAAAATAGCAATTCTGGTCTAGATCTTGTTTTGGCTGTCCTGGTATAAATATTGCTGAGGGGAAGGAGAACTGTTCCTGTACTAACCACTGGTGGGAATCCTACAGATTCTCTGAAGGCAGACAGGAGGGTGGTGAAGGTCCCCAAAGGCACATCCAAGTACCAGGCTGCCTGGATTGTGGATGATGGAGAAGAAGGCAGTGAGAAAGATGACGACGATGATGATGATGATGATGATGACATGGATGATGATCTGATGGAAGAGGCAGTTTCTCAGGTACCTCCAAGAGCTGATAGTACAGGTGATCTCCAGGCCATTATTCAATGTTCTAGGAAGATTCTGTCCTTCCAGCTTGCTTTGTCTATGCAAGTGCATGATGCAGAGTCAGGATTTGCCTGGATTTCCACTATTAAATCCCCACATGTAGCACATTGTGTCTTTGGCCTGTTAGACCCCCAAATGATGGGCTGGGGTCCCAAACCCACAATGTGAGCACGCCCAGGGTGCCAGTGCTGCATGCACAGCTCTGTGCTCACAGGCTCTGTGCTGCCATGTGCCAGGAGGGGGAGAGCAGTGAGGAGGAAGCTGGGGAGGAGGAGAGCGAGACCATGACCGTGTCCGAGTGCCTGCGGGATGAGCAGTATGACGAGAAGATGGAGGAGGATGAACAGATGCTGGAGAGATACAAACAGGAGAGAATGGATGAGATGTTCCCAGATGAGGTGGACACACCACGGGATGTGCCTGCCAGAGTCAGGTAAGGAATGGGATGCTTTGCTGGGAGAGGAGCTGGAACACCTTTCTGTTTAATTTGGTGAGGAAGCCTGTGATGTCTTAGCCGTGGTGTCTGAACCTGGCTGAAGGACTCTTGTGAAGACTCTTTTTGGCTCTGAGGCTTCAGACAAGGCACTGGTTGGCAGGGAGAGCTGGGTCCTGACCTGGGAGAGGGAGGGAGGAGGATGATGGCCCTGAGGCAAGGACAGGTTGGTTGGGGATTTGGCTGCTGGTTTTAGCTCTCTTGCACCAAGATCTTTCCTGAGGGCTAATGTTTGCTTTGCTCCCTTTACCCTCCCAGAAGGTGTGAGACCCTGCAGACCACAGGTGGTGGTGAAGGATGGGATTCACCTCAGTTGATGAAATAATTTGTCTTTCCTGCTCTCTGTTCTCAAGGTTCCAGAAATACAGGGGGCTGAAAAGCTTCCGGACTTCTCCTTGGGACCCCAAAGAGAATCTTCCAAGGGATTATGCCAGGATCTTCCAGTTCCAGGACTTCTCCCGAACCAGGAAGAACCTCTTCAGGCAAATAGAGAAGGAGGAGACTGAAGGAGCTTCGGTAATTCCCTTTTGCTGATCTCTTTCCCTGTTGTGTTTTGCTCCCAGTAGGAGTGACTTACCAGGGAGGTGATAAGTTGGGTGGATCTTTCAGCCAGCTGGTTCTTAGCATGAAGCCAAGCCCTAAGTTCAGACAGTTTTCTCCTGGACTCCCTCCCTAATCCAGGCAATCTTGTGACACTTTTTTTTGAGAGAAGCATTCACACCTGCTGCTGTCTTGGCAGGTGGGCTGGTACGTTACACTTCATGTCTGCAATGTCCCTGTCTCGGTGATGGAGAGCTTCAAGGAAGGGAAACCCCTGGTCCTGTTCTCGCTGCTTCCCCACGAACAAAAGGTGAACAAAAGGGAAGATACCTTGTAGGGATGTGCAGCTCCTTGTTCCTTCAGGCTGCTTGGCTAGGGGAGGATCTGGCTGCAGAGGGTTTGGGTTAAAATCTCCCCACATTGCTCCTGTTTCAGGGCAGGTCAGAGCATGCAGAAGCTGCTGGGGGCGGGTTCAGGATAAAGTGTCTGAGCCTGGCACTGGTGACCAGTGACCTCTTGGGACCCTCTTTTTGAGGACATTCATCTCTGCTGCAATGTCCTGTTGCTTTCTGCTGCCCACCATCCCCTGCCAGCAGCCCCTCACTGTGCTGCCTCTTCCAGATGTCTGTGTTGAACTTCCTGGTGCGTCGGCATCCGGGCAACAGTGAGCCAGTGAGGGCCAAGGAGGAGCTGATCTTCCACTGCGGGTTCAGACGCTTCCGAGCATCCCCCCTGTTCTCCCAGCACACCTCAGGTTTGTCAGGGACTGGCTACAGCAGGAGTGGGGTTGGGAATTCTGGAGCAGGAAGCCTGTGATGTCTTAGCCATGGTGTCTGAACCTGGCTGAAGGATTCTTGTGAAGACTCACTCCTAGGCTCTGAGGCTTCCAGGGCAGGCAAAATCATGGGGAGTAGAATGGCTTGGGAAAGGTGGTTCACTGATCCAGGCAAGGAACAGGTTCCATGCCAGGGGATCAACTTCATTCCCAGATACTCATTGCCAGCAGAGGAGGGCTGTTAGTTGAACAGGGAAGAATGAGCTCTTGGGGTGTCCCACAGCTCTGAGGACTGCTCTTGGCCTGAATGTGATCATTGCTGTTCTGTCCTAGCTGATAAGCACAAGCTGGAGCGTTTCCTGCGCCCAGATGCTGCCCTGGTGGTGACTGTTTATGCTCCCATCACCTTCCCTCCTGCCTCAGTGCTGCTTTTCAAGCAGAGAAATAATGGTGAGTTGATAAATGCTGAGGAGGTGCTGTCTGGGAAACAAACTGTCCCCATACCCTGCTTACAAGTGAATCTCTCCAGAAAGTATGACTTGAAAAAGCTGTCACCTTCCTGCTGTTTGAGACGAGCTCCTCTCCATTCCTGTCATCACTGTCCCTGCTGTGGGGTTGCTCTGGGTGCAGCCCTTTGGGGAAGGGGTTTGTGGTGGGGAAGGGGCGATGGAGGCACCTGCCCTGGTGCATTGGTGACTCTGCCTGGCAGGAATGCATGACCTCATTGCCACGGGCTCCCTGCTCTCCGTGGACCCCGACAGGATCGTCATCAAGCGCCTGGTGCTCAGCGGCCACCCCTTCAAGATCTTCACCAAGACAGCTGTTGTGCGATACATGTTCTTCAACAGAGGTACAGCTGGTCTCTGGTGGAGGAGGGGCTCTGGAAGTTCTGTCCCTGTGGTTATGTCGGTGCTGCACAGCCTGTTCCTCACCTGCCTTTCGTGTTTCCATCTCCAGAGGATGTGATGTGGTTCAAGCCCGTGGAGCTGAGGACAAAGTGGGGACGCAGAGGGCACATCAAGGAGCCATTGGGTAGGTTTGATTTGGTGTTTATCTCTGTGTTGCTGGCATGGCGTGGTCCTCCTGGGCCAGAGAGACTGCTAATGGCCTCTTCTGCCCTCTGCCTAGGGACCCATGGGCACATGAAGTGCCACTTCGATGGGCAGCTCAAGTCCCAGGACACGGTGTTGCTGAACCTCTACAAGCGCGTTTTTCCCAAATGGACTTATGACCCTCATGTCGCGGAGCCTGTGCCGTGGGTGAGGAGTGAGAGCGCGCTGCCAGAGCGGGAGGTGGAAATGGAATGAGTCTCCAGCATGGCTGGAGTTTGTGCCTTGGCTCTCTGGATGCTGTTCTTGGCCCGTGCACTGTGAGGACAGCACTGATGCCTTGGAAGTGTTACTGCTGGGGTCTGTACAGGGGCAGCTGCATCGCCAGCTGCTGCTCAGGTACTAGCTATAGTTATTTATTTTAATGGAAAATGTCAAAAATGCCTAAGTGCCTCTGTCGTGGTGGTGGCCAGGAGGCTGTGTGCACCCCTTGAACTGAACCTCCTGGCCCACTGGGATTGTTTCAGTCCCTCATGCCCTGCCACGTGGGGTGTGTGGGGATTTTGCTGTGTGAAGGAGTTTGCTGGCAGTTCCTGTGATGTTGAGGAAGAGCCAAGTAGCAGCTGGGGAGGGTGACTGAGTGCAGCTCTCTGGAGGCCTGGCCCAGAGCAAGGCAGCTGGGGAGGGGAGAACAGGCAGTGCTTTGTTTCCAGGCTCCCCACAGAGATCAATGCCAGCTTCCCTTGTCCTTCCACAAAAACTCACAAACGTTTGGGCTTGACCTGTTTTTAGTAGCGCACAAACCACTGCACAAATTCAGAGTGAGGTTTTCATTCCTTAAAACGCCCCTCCATCCTCATTCTGCTTTCCCAGAGAGGTCTGTGAGCCAGGTCAGGGATCTCAGGTCCACATTTCCCCCACACAGCACGATGCAAATGTTCTGCACGTCCCGGGGGACGGCCTGGAACCGCTCCGAGAGCACAGCCGCCAGTCCCACGCCTGCTGTTGGCTCAATCAGCAGCTTCATCCTTTCCCACACCAGCCACGTGGCTCGCTGTCAGGACAGGGCAGCAGCTGTCAGCCCAGCAGCCAGCACAGGCTGCTCCAGGGCATCCCTGCAGCACTCTGGGAAGGGAGGGCAGAGCTCCCAACAGCCCCTTCCAGCTGGAGACAGCGTGGGTGTCACAGCTGCAGTGGTGCACAGGGGCTCCTGCTGCTCTGGGAGTGCGTTGGGGTGAGAGCAGAGGGGCAGAGCAGGGATGGAGGCAGCTGTCTGCTGGCAGCTACCATGAGAAGGGAGCTGGGAGCCTTTACCTTGATTTCTTCCTCTGAGACTGTCAGGACATCATCAACCAAATCCCTGATGATGGGCCACGTGTTGGGTCCGATGCTGGTTTTTACTGCGTCTGCAATGGTATCCCGCGGGTGGAGGTTGGGGGTCAGCTCCCCTCGGACCTTGGACTGGTAACAGTCATCCACGTTGCTTGGCTCAGCAGCAAACACTTTCACATCTGGCCTCAAAGCCTGGGGAGAGCAGGAGGAGCCGTCTGGGTGACACCAGTGTGTGTCTGTCCCCCATTTCTGTGTGCAGGGGGCTGAGCAGACCCTGCTGCTGCTGCCATGCAGACCCTAGGCACCCACAGATTTGCACTGCAGGGCCTTTCTAATGTTAAAAGCTGCTGCCTGCCTTGAGGGTCCTGCCCTTCCCACAGGGAGATTCCTGGATAAGCTCTTGCCTACCTTGATGGCGACTGCTATACCTGCAACCATTCCTCCGCCTCCGACAGGAACCACCACTGCATTTACATAGGGTGCCTGTGTAGAAGGGAAGTGTGAGGGCTTCTGACACTTTGTGTCCCCCTTTGTGCTGTGCCCCTGCAGGGGCTGGGCTGTGCATTCCCCTCACCTGCTCCAGCACCTCCAGGGCAATGGTGCCTTGCCCTGCGATCACCGCCGGCTCCTGGTTGGGGTGCACCAGGACTCCTCCTGTCTCCTGGACTACACTGGATGCTGTCTCGGCTCTGGACTAAGGGAAGGCACAGCAGTCACCTCTCACTCCAGCTGGGCAGTGTCCCTGGCCAGTCTCCCCTATGCCTTACCTTGTCACTGGGGTCACACGGCACCAGAATGGCACCATAGGCACGGATGGCATCTTGCTTACACTGCGGGGCTGTCCGTGGCACCACGATGTAGGCAGGAATCCCTGTGGGATGAGAGAGGATGTAAATCCAACAGCCTGAAAGCCACAGCAGCCGGTTTGAACCGCAGGAGCAGGCAATGCCTCGTCTCTGCCAGCTCCTGCATGGGCTCAGGAGAGGGATCTCCAGACGAACCAGCTCTGCATTTCTCTCAGAGCTGGGCTTGAGGTCGGGGGTGCAGATCACCTTCTGCCTGAGCAGCACAGGCGAGCGCCTGTCCGTGGTTGCCGCTGCTGTGTGTCACCACAGCGCGGGGCAGCTCCCGGCCCGTGCGCTCGCTGTGCTCAACCAGGCTCCGCACCGCGTTCAGGGCACCGCGGATCTGCAAGGACAGCACAGGGCCCGGTGTCCCTTACAGCATTCCATCGGTGCCGGGCAGCACCCGTGCAGGGCGGCGGGAGCTGCTGGGGATCGGCGGAACGCGAGTTTCCCTCTTGCAAAAAGCGATCTTTGCCCCGGGGATTTGCAGCGCCGCCATCCCCGCGCACCTTGAAGGACCCGGTCCTCTGCAAGAGCTCGCATTTGAAGAGCAGCCTCCGGCCGGCCATGCGGTCCAGCCCGGCACAGGTGAGCAGCGGGGTGCGATGGATGCGGCCCCGGAGCCGCCGCTCCGCATCCCGCACCTCGTCCAGCCCCAGCGGCGGCGCGGCCATGTGCGCGGCCCCGTGCGCGGCCATGTGCGCGGCCCCGTGCGCGGCCATGTGCGCGGCCCCGTGCGCGCCTGCGCGCGGCAGCAGCGGCGGTTTGTCCCTACGCGGCCACCGTCGGCGCCGCCCGCCCCCGGCGTAGCCAAGATGGCGGATGGGTTGGAGCGCGTCCGCGTCTCGGCCGCTGAGCTGCGGGACATGGTGGCGGCGCAGGCCCGCGCGGCCGGCGGCGGGCGAGGTGAGGGGTGCCGGGGGTACTCGCGACCCGCTACTGGGCCGTCCCTTCCTCGCAGAGGCAGCGGCCCGCGGCCGCGCACAGCCCCGCGGCCACGCTGCCCGGCTGCGCCTGGGGTAGGGCTTGGGGCAGAGCTGCCGCCCCGCCGGCACCGGCACGGGGCTGTCCGGGATGCGAGCGCACGGCCGGCGCCACACCGAGAACGGGGAGGCTGCGAGGCGGGTGGAGCGGCTTTGCCCCGGGATGGTCGGTGGCAGCCCCTCGGGGTCCTCCGGGCCCAGCCCCCGGTACCGGCGGAGGTTCGGGGCTGCGGCCGGTGCGCGGTACTGACGGGGAGGAAGTTTGGGGGATGCAGCGGGGAACAGCCCGGCTTTGGTGGGTCGTTTAACCGTGCGTGAGGCTCTATAACGACTTTCTGTGTAAATACAGTTAAAGGAGGAGGAGAGAAACGTTACCGGATTGTGAGCAAGGGAGAAAGGCGATTTTGACTCCAAATGGTCTGGTGGGGATGGCAGCTCCTGCACCAACAGCAGCCAGGCGGCTGCTGCTGAACCGGTGGGGATACAGCTTTACTCTTGCTGCATGTGCTCGAGTTGGGCTTTGCCTGCCCCTTGTTGGTGCTTTGGGGCAAAACCTGTTGCAGGATGGGATTTGTAAACGGGTCAGGCCAAGGATTTGGTCAGCTGTGTTAGACTTTCTCATTTTCTACTCTTATTCTGTGATTTCTTGTAAATACTGATACAGGTTTTCACACCTCTGTGGACCTGCCCTGAGGGTGGCAGGCTCTTTGCCTTGTCTTGAATATTCATCGTGGGATTTTTTGGTCTGTCTATTCTCTGGGAATAACTTTATTCTGTCTGTTTTTCTCCAGAAAACATGAAGGAGGTGAAGGAGCCGAGGCATCGCAAAGACAACAGGCGCCCAGACCAGGAGATTTACAAGCCCGGCCTCTCCAGACTGAGGAGCAAACTTGTGTCACCAAAGCAAGAGGCCTCAGAGAAGGAAAGGAGCAGAGCTGAAGAGGACAAGGAGGAGAGTGCTGGGGACAAAGACTCTGTGGGAGTGGGAGCTGCAGCTGTGGAGGACTGGAACAAAAGCGATGGCCCCAAGCAGAATGGTCCTTCGCAGGAAAAGGAAGAAACAGAGACCAAAGGCAGCCTGCAAAGCCAGGAAAACTCATCCAAGCAGCCCGTCGTGGATGAATGGTGTCCAAAAACCCCCAGGAGAACCAAGAAACCGGACCAGCAGATCTACCAGCCTGGGAAACGCCTGTACTCCACTGCTAAAGAACCCTCCCTGCTGTCACCTGGAGAGGAAATCACCGGGAGGATGGAGCAGCTGAAAGTGGAGGGATATGAAGAGACCGAGAAAGGCGCTGGTAGAGAAAGCAACAGGAAAATTAAATTGAGCAAGGAGGATAGAGAGGGGAACCAGGCAGGGGAAGCAGTGAAAGCTGCCAGGGGGGATAAAGGGAGACGAGCAGAGCGAGGTGACAGGGTGAGGAGGACGGGGGATGAGGTGCTGCCGGGGAAGCTGGGCTCCACCAAGCGCTATTCCCGCACGGACAAGCGGCGGAGCCGGTACCGCACCTGCAGCACCAGCTCAGCCGGGAGCAACAACAGCACGGATGGAGCCCTGCTCGTGGATGGGGTGGAGAGGAGGCAGGAGCGTGCCAGGGAAAGGGTACGTCCTAGGAAACAGCTCTCTGTGTCCTCCACTGACTCCTTGGACGACGACAGGATCGATGAGGCAGAGGTGTACGTCTCCAGCAGGAATTCGGACAGGAGAAGGCATTCGGAGCAGAGCAGAACTTCCAGGAGTGAGAACGAATGGAGTAGCAATGGCAGGGAAGTCAAGGGACCCTTTCGAGTCAAATTTGTCAGTAGGACCATGAACAGGGATGTCAGCCTGGCAGATACAGATAAAAAAAAGTCCCTGAAAGACTTAGAGGTTTCAGAGGCGAGGAGCCAGAGCAGGGAGCCCCAAGGGAGGGGCCGTGGGATTCTGTTCCTGCCTGCCAACACGGACCTCTCTGCCAGCTCAGTGGGTGTCCCTGAAGCCACTCACCCTGGCCCCAGGCTCCTGCTGGGTGGGGCTGGCAGCAAAGGCCCCCGGAGCCGGGGCCGAGGTGGCACTGCCCGCCGGCTGTGGGACCCAAACAACCCGGACCAAAAACCTGCCCTCAAGAGCCAGACTGCTCAGCTTCACTTCCTAGACACGGATGACGAAGTGAGCCCCACCTCCTGGGGGGAAGCCCGCCAGGCCCAGCCCTCCTACTATAAATTCCAAAACTCTGACAACCCCTATTATTACCCTCGTGCCTCTGGGCAAGGCCCCCAGTATCCCTATGGTGGATACTCCCTGCAGTATCCTATGGGTCCAACCAATGGGGTGTACCCAGGAGCCTATTACCCCGGCTACCCCGGCCAGGCAGGGCAGTACCTGTGTGGCCCACTCTCTCCCACTCCTCTGAGCCCCGAGATGGAGCAGCAGATGAGGAACATGCAGCAGCAGGAGCTCAGCAAACTCCTGCGTGAGGCTGGCAACCAGGAGCAGCAGCTCAGCAACCTCCTGTCCAGAGACCGCATCAGCCCGGAGGGGCTGGAGAAGATGGCCCAGCTGAGGTTCGTGGGTGGGCTCTAGATGGGGAGTGAGTCATTTCCAGGGTGAAATACAGGAGAATGGTGTCTCCTTGGGGATGTCCATGTCTCAGTGGTTGGGAGATGTGGCACTGGGTTGCCGGTTTTTGGTGTGCTGGGTCTGTTTGCAGTGTGCCAGTGGTGTTTGGGTGGTGGGAGGAAGCTGTGGGTGAGGATGGATGTCATTTCCCTGGGCTGGGAGCTAAGGTGCGGCTTCTTGTGCTCAGTGAATGCCTTGCAGGGATGCAGAGGAGCAAGACAAGCACCTGCTGCAGATTTTTGGCTCTTCTGGCTCTTGCTGGAGCTGATGTTTCTCAGTTCCTGTGCTCTCAGTGTTAGTTGTCAGACTTCTGCTTTCTTACCTGTCCTTAGTGCGTGCTCAGGAAGCATTCCGTGTGTTCCTGGGGCTGTTGGTGGCAGTGCCTTTCCAGGGTAGTTTTGCTCTTGATGCCACTCAGCGTGGTGACACTCCAGGAGGAGTAGCCTGGTGATGCCAGTCTGTCAGGAGAGAAGTTGCTCTGGGGGTGGTTAACATGGCTGTGACAAGTTTCTGCTTGGCATCTTTCAAATTTATCTGTGACCTCTGTGTCTGCAGGGCTTCTCTGGAGGCTGATTTTCAGAGCTGACTGGCAGCAAATCCAGCAAGTGAGCTCATTTCAGGACTTGTTCTGTGTTTTGGGCACCTGTTCTGTAGAGCACGTGGTGGGATGTGGCTGTGATTGAAGCAGCACTAGAGGGTTTAGGTCTTCCTTGAGGTGCTGAAGTCACCCAGAGCTGTTGTGTGGAGGGAGAGGAAACACTGTGGAGTGCTGCTGTGGCCTGTGGAAGCCCACCCTGCCCTGGGAATGTGGGCACAGTTGACCCTGTCCTTGCTGGCAGTGTCCCTTGTGTCCTGCTTGTGTCCAAGTGCCTGCTGCCAGCTGTGTGGGGACCCCTACCTGACATCCATCTGCAGAAATGTCATTTCCTTTGTTGTTTGTGCTGTCCAGGTGTGTGTGCAGGGTCTGGGGACTGTGTGGGGCCAGGCAGCCCATCCTGGCTCTGTGCAGGAACCCACCAGCATCCTTCTCTTACCCTGTCAGGCTCTTCCAGGCGTTACAGTCCGGCTTCACTCCGAGCTTTACCGTCCACGCTCTCCTACTGTTTCTGTAGGACTTGAAAGATAATAAGGAATAAGGCAGGAACAGCTGAGGATCCCCTTTGCCATCAATTTGTTCCACGTGTTTCAGAGCTGTTCCTAGCCTGCAGCTATTTTATTAAATTTGGGGGAGGAATTGTGCTCCAGCATCCAGGCAGGGCTGTAGGCAGCTGACAAGGGGAATGTGATTTCTGGGACTCACAGGCTTTATTTCCATTGCTCCCAACTCGTTCATTTTTGAAGAAGCAGGGTCTGTGTCTCTTCTGTGTATTTTGGTTGGATGGAAGAGGCGGGGGAGGATCATTTTAATGGCAAGATCTCTGTTGCCCTGTGTTTCTTTGCATTCTGGTTCCTGGCCCAGACCTTGTGCTCAGAAGCAGCAGAGCCTGGCAGCGTGTGTGTTCCCTGTGTTGGATCAGGAGACACACGTGCCTTGCTCTTTGCCAAGCCTTGATCCATTCAGATTCACCTGTACAAGGGAGACGCTCCTTTTGGATTTCCCCTGTTGGAGCAGGGGGGGTGTTAGATTGCAGCAGCTCCCTGGGGGATGTGTGTGGATGCACTGAGTGCTGCTGGCAGCTGGATGTGAGCAGCAGGTGGTTCAGCACGTGTTCCCTGTGTTCCTGGGCAGTTGCTGTTGCATTGACCCCTCCCTGACTGTGTTTTGCTGTAGGGTTGAGATGCTGCAGCTCTATGAACGCTGCATCCTGATGGATATCGAGTTCTCTGACACCCAGAACGTGGACCAGTTGCTGTGGAAAAATGCTTTTTATCAGGTGATTGAGAAATTCCGGCAGCTCCTCAAGGACCCTCAGGGGGAAAATGCCCAAGAAATTCGGAACAAACTGCTCTTGCTTCTGGATGAGGTAAGAAGAGAGAAATATCCCCAGATTCCACTAAACCTTTGGATGGGATTGACTGGTTTTTAGAAAGGGATCATGTAATGGGGCAGCTGGTCATCTTTATCTTATTCAAGCCTCCATGTGCCTTAGGT